ACCCTTGCCAGTTTAGGTGTACAGTTACAGCTCTTCCTAGACAAAATCTGTGCCCTGCTAGTGATGTAATCAAAGAACAAGAAACTTTAAAATTCTCCCAAATGCCCAGATGTTTTGTGTTGCTCTGAAAAAAAGGTAATAAGAACAAGAACTATTTTTCTAGCAGGATGGAGCAAAATTGTGCCAACAATTTATATTGTTCAAATGAACATGACTGCTGATCTGCTGGATGGAGTTTTAAGAATTTGAAGAGCTAGAGCTCTTCCCAGGGAAAATCTGTGTCTTGCTAGTGATGTAAATCTTCTCTTGTCGTCTTCTGGCATAAAAGAGTTGCAGTTCAATCTGAAGCAACTGTAGGTGGCGAGTTCAAATGTACTGCTTTAAGAAGACTTTTTATACTGAATGACTATTTCCTCATCTTGTCTGGATAGCTAATTAAGCTGCATAAAAAAATTAAATAAACAGGAGCTCTGCCCAGGAAAGCTGTTTTTTAAAAAAGAAGGATTTTGGGAGAAAGGCTTTGCAGAGAAGGGTGAGTGTTGATGTGTATGTGTTTGCGTGCACAGTTTCCTTGTTCTCCAGACAAGGGAGAAGGTGTTATGTCAAAATACCACTTTCTGCATCAGAGGAAGTGGAAAGATTTGACTTTTAAAAAGTAGAAGGTTCTCTAGTGGGGAAGAAAAATTATGGATTGGGGATGTGGGACTTGGGGCTGATTTTTTTTTCCTATGCCAAGATCGGCTAGTGCTAAACTACTATATAAATGCAATAACTCAGTGCTAAACTCATTTATTAAAAAAAATAGTGGGACACTTTGGGGATAGATCTCATGGACAGGGATGTTCCTGAAAGCCCCTAAACATCACACCCAACTCCTTATGTCACCACAATACCACCCACCATACATATACACATACACATACACACACTATCCTTTTTGAGAATGAAACAACTGCTCACACGGGGAAAAGTACACATACATACAGTACACACACTATCCTTTTGGAGAATGAAACAACTGCTCGAAAAGGGAAAAGTGATTTCGCATCATTATGGCTTGGAAAAAGTAGAAGCCCCCAGTGGCTCTTAGCTCCATGTTGAGAGCAACAACATTTGGGGCTAATTTGAGTTGGCCTTTGTGTCATGTGATCAGTAAAAAAAAGAGAGAGAGAGAGGATCAATCCATTTTATACCCACAGCAAATCTCACAGTACTTGACTGTGTAGTAGCTGCCTCACACACTTCCCTTCCTGTCTGATTTTTCTTTCCAAATATTCTCATGGGTCCAATTGATTTCTAAGCAGCTTTGGTCCCCCTCTTCTCTCCCCCACCTCCCCAAATTCTATGGCGATCCTCAAATGCCCAGTCATTTTCTCTATTATGGTGGCCTCTTTAAGCACCCACAAGCATGTCTTAGGTTATCAGATCTGCTTTAAAATGCTGCCATTCATCTGTTCAATTTAATGCACACTCAGTGGGGAGTTGCTGTTATTGGCTAAAGGCTATACCGCTGCAGCTTAGAAAATGAGAAAAGAAAAGCGGGCAGGCTCAGGTTAACTATGCCATTAACGTTCTCTCCATCTACAATACATCAATAGCATGTCAGACCTAATCATGTTTTATATACCTGGCCTATTGCAGCAAATACCAATCAGATATATTTATTCAAAAAGGAACATTGCTTAGTCCTTTTGAGTGTTTGCTATTCTCCTCACTCCTGAGCACAATAGTCAAGATCGACCATTCAATCTTGCTCCCCCACCCCGTATCTGAAAATTTTCCATAAGAAAAATGGAGAACCGAGGGAGAGAAATTGTTGACATGTTGCATGGAAATTGAAATAACAGGGCGGCAGTCTTCACACATTTACTTGAGAGAAAATGTCACTGAGCTCAGTGGCACAGGTTTTTGAGAAATAATATTAGCGAGGAAGGACTCATCCGTGCTCATATTGCATCACACATAAAGATGTGGACTTTTGTCAGCAGCCAGGAAATATTTGGAAGTTGTGTCTATTGATTACTTAGTCATGGAGACTGACCTCTTTGTCACCTTCCATTGACTATATAACACAGTATAAGTTCAGGCCTAATTAAGAGGTGCAGAGCTGTAAAGTTTGCTTTCAGTCTACATTTAGGAGTTGGAAATAGACAGGTGGACAGGTAGGAAACACTACAACAGGACAGGAAAGAAACAGCTACCAAAATATGGATTTGTGGAATTAATAAAATGAGGAATTTATTAGTCCATTTGTGGACTGCAAAAAATGAGACACTTCAGAACTTCCGTAGGATTTGTACTGTAACATATGTGAAGGGCTTTCCAAAATCATAACAGTAAATATAATCTAAATATCTATTAATTGATACAGGAAAGAATTTTGCATTACTGTCATACCAACAAAAGTATATATATTTATATATATAAAGCTTTCAAGTTTGGAATTTATCTTAACTGTTATCTGAAATTTATCTTGTTTTCACTTACTTTAAGAATAATTTTATAAAAAGTAATTGTATTAATCTGTTTCAGCATGTATATCCAAAACAAAAAACAAAACAAACTCTTGTAGAGTCATTACAGTTAAAATATTTCTTTCATTCTGTATTTTCATAGGTAAAAAACTACATCTTTAAACACACTGAGTACAGTATTTAAGCCACAGTTTTATATATTAATGAAGAAAGAATCAGAATGAAATGGGATACAGTAGATGACAATTATATTACTAAGTTCTAGTAGTGAAATTTCAAAGTACATTGGTGCCTCAACTTACAAATACCCCTACCTACGAACATTTTGAGTTACAAACAGCTCCGCTTGCAAAGTTTTGCCTCAATTTGCGAGGGGAGCTTCAGTGTAAGAACAGAAAAAGGCGGGGGGGGAGGCAGGAAATTCAAACCATTGTTGGCAAAGAGGCTGCTTCTTTGTAGCTCTTTTGCCCCAATGGTTAGAGCAGGGGGTCAGGGAAATTTTTTACTCCTGCAGCGCAGGAGGAGGAAAGAGAGGTGGGGGTGGCTCCAAATCTCTGCGGGGTGCAGGAAGCTGGTGCGCTCCCTGCCCATCCCTGGTGTGGGTCTATTCATGAGTAAAGCCCAGCAAAGGCATGGGTCTACTCATGCGCAAGGTCTGCCAAAGATGTGGGTCTACTCATGAGTAAGGCAGCCGAAGGTGCTGGGTTGAGGCGCGCGGGTCAGAGGGGCTCCTCTGTGGATAGGGCACACGGCCAGGGTGCAGGAGGAAGCTCCCCACCATGGAGTGGCAACAGGTAGGGTAATAAGCTAATGTTAAGTGTCTACTATCAAATATACAATTTCTAAGCTTTGGTCCTTGATGTACAGAAGAAGTGAGTCTTACAGTGTGGTTACACTATGAACATAAATTGACACATGGATTAGAGAAGTGATGGCGAACCTATGGCACACGTGCCACAGCTGGCACCCAAAGCCTTTTCTTCTGGCACGTGACAAACTTTTTGAAGTGGCTGCAGCTGGGATTCCCCCTTTCTCTTCCTGTTCTGGGTCCTTTAACTTCCTGTCTGTCCCCATGATTCCCCCTTTAACTTCCTGTCCATCCCCCTGATTCCCTCTGAAACTTCCACTTCCTGTTCTGGTTCTGGTCTTCTGGGTGGCACAGCAGTTACTGGTTTCTTCCCCACCACCTCATTTTGAGCACTCGAGCTGAAAAAGGTTTGCCTCCACTGGATTAGAGGTTTTGAAATCATTGAGCCAAAAAAGTTTTGCCTCCACTGGATTAAATGTTTTGAAATCATTTTAAATTCACATGGTAGCCACATGGTTTTTGTTTCTCTGTGTGTGTTTTCTTGGGAAAACTTTTAATCCATTTTAAACTGTGTTGTATATTGGTGGAAGGGTCTACACAGGCTTTTAGAATCATTGCATTTAAGGCTTTGTTACGTGCCCCTGCCTGCCCTTGCTCTGGTTGTTTCTTAGTGACACAATGCTCAGACAACAGGGCTAATGTCTTTTATCAGTATAACTAGAGATGGGGGGGTACAAATACAAATACCCCTGCACAGGTGGAGATAAAGTTAGGTTACCTACCTGTAACCATGATTCTTCTAGTGGACCTTTGTGAATTCACACAAATGGGTTTTGTTCTGTGTCTGCGCAGGCCATTCAGAAGATTCTAGAGTTTAGAAAAAAGAAACAATTTAGTTCCTCCCCAGAGTGCAAGCTACGCCTCCTCAACCTTCCTTTCAGTTCACTTAGTCTACCGTTACCAAAACTAGGTACCGAAGAGAGAGGCAACGTGAAGGACAGAAGGGAGAAAGGTTGGTGGGCTATAATAGCTGATTGATATATATTTTGCCATGCGCAGTATGAATTGGGTGTAATATGTGTAATCAGGGTGCAAGCTACGCCTCCTCAAACTTCCTTTCAGTTCACTTAGTCTGCCGTTACCAAAACTAGGTACTGACGAGAGAGGCAACGTGAAGGACAGAGGGGAGGAAGGTTGGTGGGCTATAATAGCTGATCAATATATATTTTGCCATACGCAGTATGAATTGGGTGTAATATGTGTAATCGTCCGCAGGTGACAGGGAATGGCTGTCCGTGGTATTAGCGGAGGGGTGTTGAGCCTTGGATACATACGACAATGATGAATCATCTTTATTAGAAGAGATAGAAGCCCTTGATCATGAGTGATGAAAGCCCCTTGAATGGATCTTCGATGCATAGATGCAGAAAAAGGCTCGGTATTGTGGCCGGAGGGGCCGGAGTAAAGTGTGGTTGCTTCTACTGAAGAACGGACTCTATGATGTTTAGGTCATTTAGCCGGTAAGACTCTATGGTGTTTAGGTCATTTAGCTGGTATAGAGACCTCTAGTACCATCTTTCTTTTCTAAATGGTTCGACTTGGGGAGCAGAGGTATCCCCTCAGCGTTCAGAGGGGACATCTGGCAGTGGTGCTGTAGAAGGGTACCAAGGTGGTGGGGGTAATATATTCATTGTAATAGCCATAGCCATGGTACGGATATGGGTGGTATCGATCAAAGTAAGGATAGCCTTAATGCGGCGGACCCTCTGGATGGTGGTATTGTTCCTCATGGCTGTAAGGTTGGTATGGAGAAGTGTACTTCACACTTCTCAGTTCTATTTTTAGGAGTGCATATAGCAGACTCCTGTTCAAATTCGACATCAATGTCTGGCTGCCCTGAGGATCGAAGGTTAGAATGGGCCAAGGCCGGGCTGGAAGGTGTGTCAGCCTCACAATGGCCTGAACTTGCAGAGAAGCTAGGAATAACATGAGGTGTTTGGGGTGGAGGCATGGTGCATTCCTCCCTATCCGAGAGCCCAAGATCTTCTCTCGAAGATTCCTCCAATAACAGAGCCAACGGAAGGGATGCAATAGCCGGCTTGGCAATTTTCTTTTGTTTTGTTTTTTTCCTTGTCTCTTTTCTTTTTTGCAGGATCAACTGACCAGTGGAGCCTTAGAGGAAACTATTTTGGCCGTCTTAAGAGAGTCCTTGGACTTGGTAAATACTGAAGTCGTGCTGGATCAGGATTGTGCAGGTGGACTGGAGACAGATTACAGTAACCTCCAGTCGTGGAGGTTTAGGAGAGGGCAGGGTTTGCACTTCCATGGCAGGGTTCAGAGTCTTTTCGTAAAGAAAGAACCATAAGCGCTGGAGTCTCAGTTTAATCAGTCGTGTGCACATAGCACACGACTGGGTCTGATGGGATTGCCCCAGGCAAAATAAGCACAGATCGTGTCTGTCCGTTAGTGGGATTTTTTTGTAGACAGAACACTTCTTAAAGCCCCGAGGAACCATAAAATAAGGAGAAGCAGAAAAAATAAATAAAAGGAAGGGGGAATCCAGGGGAACAGCGCGCGAAGGGGGGGAAAGGTGGGAGAGTAGCAAAAGACAAAACGGAGATCTGTTGCTACGAAAAAATAATAAGAATAGATTAATCAACAAGTTAAACGATTAGGGGGAAAAATGAAATGAGGTAGAATCTCTACCAAAGCTGAATTTACTTTCCTTAATGCTCTATTGTTCCTCACGTCCTAACCCAATGGCAGAAAAAAGGGAACTGAAAGGAAGGTTGAGGAGGTGGAGCTTGCACCCTGGGGGGGAACTAAATTGTTTCTTTTTCCTAAGCTCTAGAATCTTCCAAACATCCTACGCAGAATAAACCCATTTGTATGCATTCACAGAGGTCAATACGAAGAACCTTCTCAGCCCAGACTTACACCCAAATCTCAGTACAAAGTCAGGCAGCGGCCAAGGAGCTCATAAGTAATTTGGAACAAGTCTATCTTGGGGGAACAGGTTGAATTCAGCAGAACCTCAGTTGGTTTAGTGTCAGCTCAGCCAGCCTGCAGCCATCTTGACTAGTTAAGACTGCAACCTTAATCAAGCTATAATTATCTGTGGTTGTTTAGTCATTAAGTCATGTCCGACTCTCCGTGACCCCATGGACCAGAGCATGCCAGGCCTTCCTGTCTTCCACTGCCTCCCAGAGTTTCGTCAAATTCATGTTGGTTGCTTCGATGACACTGTCCAACCATCTCGTCCTCTCTCGCCCCCTTCTCCTCTTGCCTTCACACTTTCCCAACATCAGGGTCTATGGTTAGATATAGTTATCTAGGGGAAGGAATTCTTGATTCACAGAAGCTTTATGTGTAGAGGAGTGTCCTATCTTCAAATTCTCCAGACTAGAATTGTCTGTAGATAAGTATCTGCCTAACTCTCTACTTCATGCAGCTCTTTGGCCTTATTCAGGCTGATTCTGTACATTACTTGGAGTTTTTTAAATATATATAAATATGAATTTGGATGCAACTATAACTAACTATAAGTGGAAGGGATAGTCACTCTCAAATTGGCCTTTTCAGCCACACTAGATGCTGTTCCAAGTCCTCCATACAGAGCACGTTACCATAGTCTCTCGAGACTGGAGGATGCCTAATCTATAAGTAACATATAGTCTTGTAATCCTTCACAGCATTTTCATTGAAGACAAACTTTTAAGAGTTTTTTCCTTTAAAATCTCACTTCATCTCAACTTTTCAGTTAATAAAGCATGCCTTTCTTCATTTGATATAGTAAGTAGTTTGCCCTAAGGGAGAAAAGGGACAACAATTTTTCCCATTCTAATTGAGGTATTAAGATGTTACTGTAAATATTTAATCTGAAAGTGGCATTGTTTTTGTAGTACTTTTTATATAGAACTCATGCCCAGAGCAATTATGATTAAAACTGTAAAAAGAGAATAGAGAGATGTAAAAAAAATGATTTAATTTCAACAGTTTCTCAGACAGGAGCTTCTTCTCCTTATCACAATCCTCACGATTTACTTTGGTGCATGTATAGCTTTAATATCACGGCTTCCACAATGCCACTTCTTTGTATTATTTTCCATGCACAGACAAAAAGCATGATATACAGCTGGGACTGGAGAAGAGAAAGGAATTAAGTTTACAGAGAAGCCTGACAAGGTCTCTTGGCCCACACACAATTGTGATACATTGCAAAAGAGAAAAATAAACTTGTGAATGTAAGATTGGGTGTTTTTATTCCATAGTAAACTCCCTGAGGATTTCAGCATGTGTGCTATTATCTTCTAATGGAAGTAGAGTCAATACCCTGTATGTAAACTGTATCTTATCTGACAGGGTAGCAGAGAGTAAAAGATATTGATTAGAAGCAACGCTTGAGGGAGTGACATTTGCAGTACAATGGATTAAGTTTAATGAGAGAGTTCACGATCTGTCAATAGAAGATTTAAGCATATCCCCATGTTGGTTAGGCATTCTTGTGCAAAATAAGCTCAAGTAGATTAAATGATTTATTGACCACCCCCAAATATCTTGAGGAAGATTTATGTTTTCCTCTGAATAAAAAAGTTTTATCTGTATCCAGAATAAATGTTTTATATCACTTTTTAAAATCATTCTTTGTTTTATAGGGAAATGGATACAGAGGAGGTTGACTGAAGTATCTACTGTTATATTCAATTATTTAAGCTCCATTGTAATTATGGCAGAAAACAGCAATGCCAGCAATATACACATTAATGTGTGATTGTTAGTACACTGGTCTTGAAGAATAAATGAAACAAAAATTGCTATCGTTTAAACTGTTCAATATCTGCAGCGAAGGCACATAAACACTCACATTATTTAAAACATGGCATGTACCTACATTTGTCTGCTACTCTTTTATACCACATCTTCAGGGCTAGCTGCTCTGAATTATGTAGACAGATGCTGTTGGAAAAAAATTGCTCCAAATTTCAGTCATTATAGGAAGATGCATGGATATCTCTCTTGTTGCAACTTTGAAATATAACCATATATATTGTTGTTTAGTCGTTAAGTCGTGTCTGACTCTTCGTGACCCCATGGACCAGAACATGCCAAGTCATCCTGTCTTTCACTGTCTCCCGGAGTTGGGTCAAATTCATGTTGGTATCTTCGATGACACTGTCCAACCATCTGATCCTCTACCGTCCCCTTCTCCTCTTGCCCTCACAATTTCCCAATATCAGGGTCTTTTCCAGGGCGTCTTCTCTTCTAATGCGATGGCCAACATATTGCAGCCTCAGCTTCAGGATCTGTCCTTCCAGTGAACACTCAGGGTTGATTTCCTTCAAGATGGATAGTTTTTTTCTCTTTGCAGTCCAGGGGACTCTCAAGAGCCTCCTCCAGCTCCACAATTCAAAACTATCAATTCTTCGGCGGTCAGCTTTCTTTATGGTCCAGCTCTCACTTCCATACATCACTATTGGAAAAACCATAGCTTTGACCTTTGTTGTCAAGGTGGTCTCTGCTTTTTAAGATGCTGTCTAGCATCTTATATATTAGGATTTAGTAATTATATAAAGATAGCCAGAGCAATGTCCCCAAGGAATCGTGAGAAGGCCACCGTTTTCTGAAAGGCGTAAGAGCAGGTTGCCTCCCTTCCCTGTCTTTTTCAAAGGTATGTTCCATGGACACACCTATACCACTAGTAGTATTCACACAAGTGGTTACCAGTGTAATGGCTAGGAGTGAGGTAGAGGCAACCTGGATCTCCCAAAGCTCCCTCTGGATTCTGAGGTCCATTCATCCCCAGACTCACACCAGGCTAAATCCAACAAAGAACTCTCCCCACCCCATGCTCAATGAGAAGGACTGAAATGAAATCAGCACTAGAGAAAGATGGTAGTGATGTCCTCCATTACTTGTTGGCTAGTGTGAGCCAGTAGATCTTCCTAGTTTGGATCCCACTATGAGTATTTCTTTTAGTGTCATCAGCATAACTGTCCTCTCATTTTGGAACCTGCAAAACATTTTTCATGCCCTAAACATTTTTTTTCCAAACCAGCCACACAATAAATTTGGGTAAAATAGTACAGAAAATATATCAATCAGCAGTTTTGGAGAGTATGGCTGCATTGCCATCAGTGAGCAACATGACCCACTGTTATGTATAAATTATGCAGATCATAATCATCCAGCAGGACTCAACTGATAAATTATATTATTCCCTGCCACTTTAATTATATCCTTTGACATAAAAGGAGCTGGCTGAACATTTTGCTAATTATTCTTGTCACTTTTGACCCAACAACCCATTGCAACGGGGCTTGTGTCACATCGCTGCAGTTTAAAATAGCAAATAGTGCATTTAATTAAAAGCAATATTTAAAAGAATACAAATGTAATCCGTTTTGGTGTCAAATGTGAGCCTTTTAAAAACATGATGTGGGAAAATACTTCCAGTACATTTCTTGTGATCCAATGCACAACCAAATTAAACTGAAATATTAAGTTTTAAGTTGATCTAAACCATTTCCAGCTGCTTAGATGCCTATCAGGCACTACGAACCTTGTTGGCTAGTGTGAGCCAGTAGATCTTCCTAGTTTGGATCCCACTATGAGTATTTCTTTTAGTGTCATCAGCATAACTGTCCTGTCATTTTGGAACCAGCAGAGGCCATGATTTGTGTAACATTTCTAAAATACCAATATGATTCCCATGTCCCGTCTTAATTATGTATCCTCTCAGCAGAGCTTAGAACAGTTACTTTTCTGAACTATACTTCCCTCTGCTAGACAAACCAGCATACGGTTTCACCCCAAAGGTAACTTTACCAAGTCCTGTTCCTCACACTGATTAGAGATAAGGGATATTCATATTTGTAAACAAATACAAATATACCCAACCCAGCTGCAACTAATATGGGTCTGGCCAGCACCAGCCCATTCTACTCATTGCCAGTGTCCCACTCTTCCCATCAATCACAGAAGTAGTTCCACTGTCTCCCTGCTCAGCTGGCCATTCAACAGCTCCATGGGGAGATTTGTCCTCCTGCCCCCTGCCTGGAGTAGCCAGCCAAGCAGGGAGACAGAGGAGCTATTTCCATGAATGACAGGAAGAGCAGGACACTGGCAGCACAGTGGCATGTGAGTGGATGGGCTGGTTCCAAGGGCCCGACCCACATTAATTGCATTTGTCTACAGTTACAAATATCACCATTTTAGTGATGACTGAAACACAGTATTGCAGCCAAAGGACCAAGCTGTGGTCAACCATATCCAGGCC